CACACACACACACACACACACACACACACACACACACACACACACACACAAACACACACACACGTGCGCGCGCGCACGCACGCACGCACGCATATACAGTGACTCGCATTAATATTCGGACATCATAATAATAGAGAAACTATTATTTTTTAAATATATTTTTTATAAGATTAAGAAATTTATGTTTTTTTCATAAATCATTGAAAACGCTCATTATAATTGTAATTTTGTTTATTTAATTAATGTAGTTTTCAATGTAAAAAATATTAAATAAATTAATCCTTAATTTTAGAATTGCAAAAATATTTGGACACTCAATATATTTTAGATTTACTGATCCTCAAAAATCAAGTTAGTTTATTCCTTACTTGTTACCATGAAGTAAGTCATACAAAATATGTGACTTATTTCATATTGAATTGAATTAACCTAATTTCCCCGAGATCACACAAGTTAACAGTGAAAATGAGACGTAAAGACAAAAATAGTTCATTTGACAAACGCCAACTTGTTATTTTTCATTATGAAAAAGACAAATCATATCGAGAAATCAGTAAATTAATAAATTTGAGTAGCAGAAAAAGATATGAGATTTAAAAAGATATGTTCGTGAAGATCGCATTGAATCAAGCCTTAGAAAGGACGTTCAAAATTACTTAACTCATGGGATAAACGTAAAATTATTAGGAAAATAAAAATAAATCCTGGATTAAGTGCTATAAAATTGATCTCAGAATTATACGAAGAGACTAACAAGAAAGTACATCCTAATACAGTTCGTCAAGCATTAAAAGAAAGTGGTTACTACAACGGTAGAGTTGCTTGTAAAAAGCCATTCATAAATGAAGCGAATCGGAAGAAAAGATTAATTTTCGCCAAGGAATTTATTTCTAAAGAACAAATATGTGGAATGATATAATATTCGCTGATGAGAACAAATTTAACATTTTTGGATCTAACGGACGGAAAATGATACGGCGAAAAGCAAACGAAGAATTCAAACTAAAAAATTTGAAACCAACTATGACACGGATGGAAGTTTAATAGTTTGGAGTTATATTTCAACTAAAGGAGTGAGTGAATTAGTTTTCATTAACGGAATTTTGGATAAAAATAAATATTTAAGTATTCTAAAAGACAATTTAATAAAAAATGCTAATAATATGAATATACGAAATAATTTCAAATTTTATCAAGACAATGATCCAAAATATAAGTCGCGAATAGTGCAAGAATATTTATATAACTGTCCAAAAGTATTACATCCTCCACCAGTCACCAGATTTAAATTCTATAGAAAATTTATGAAATTTATTAGATCGTAATATTCGGATTATGCCTACAAGATCAAAAGAAGAATTAAAATTACGATTAAAAGAGGAATGGATACGCATTACATCAGATTATTTAACAAAAATTATTTCTAACATGTCACGTTTGCAGCTTGTTATTAAATAAAAAGATCCAACAAAGTTAAAATTATTATCATTTTGTTTATAGATATTTTATATTATTATATCTTGTTAAGTGTCGGAATATTTTTACGAGAATTAAGCAAAATTGTGTCTATAGTTTAATTTATATTCGAAACTGTACCATATAAATAGTAATTATAGAAATAAAATTTATATTTTTAATAACTATATAATGAATTTTTCAATTTAAAACAAAAGCCATAAATTTTTTACTCCAACAAAAATTATATAGAATAATATTTAGAAAGAGTAATATTTAGAATAAATATTTAGAAAGTAATAATTTAAAGTATGATGATGTCCGAATATTAATGCGAGTCACTGTATATATAACAAAAATATCACTTTTGCAAAATTTTATAACTATCTTTGCCATTTATCTTTATTACATATTTATCTTGTTATTAATGTTAGCTATATTGATTATTATAGTTCTCTCGGTCCAAGTATATTTAATTTAGAATTTTTTCCATTTAACGGCGAACAATGTTCAATTCCGAATGTTTATTCAATTCTTCCAGTAGCCGTGATCGTCTAGTGGTTAGGACCCTACGTTGTGGCCGTAGTAACCCAGGTTCGAATCCTGGTCACGGCAATGTGTAAAACATTATCATGGTGGAAGCCTTTTTTGTAAACTTTTTGATTATTCATATTCAGAAAATATAGTCACACAACTATAATCACGTTTCGAAGATTTACATTTTTCTAGAGCTTTCTTAAGAAATATTTGCAGATTATTTTATTATATTATGGAATAAATTGTGCTTAACTTTATAGAAAATAATTTGTCAATATCTTATAATTTAAAAGATAGACAAGAAATATTTGCCTTGAAACTAGAATAAATGTGCACTTTATCTCCCACGTGGGAATGTTTCCCACGTTACAATAAAATTTATGTTATATAACTATTGCTAGCTGAAACAAATATATTCAGATAATAAGAATCAGTATATTCAGATATTCGTTTTTGAAGAATGCATTTATAATGCACTTATTATTCATTGCATAACGAGAAAATTTAACAAAATATGAATTGCTTGAACGAATTAAAATAAATAACATAGAATAAAGTACATAAAAAATAAACAAATTATTAAAATACCACGCATTATTATTATTATTATTATTATTTTTCATAAGTTATGAATATTGTACGTATACAGCACATCGTAATCGCGCATTGAACTAGAAATATCAAACTACAATACATATAATACACCATTATACGCCATAAGTTGCGAACTGTTGATCTATCCATTGACGATGTTGCGATACACTAGCGTATACTGCAGGTACATTAGAAGCTCCACAACCAATACCCCACGATACAATACCGGCCTAAAATAAGAATTTATTCAAATTCATTTCTTTTATTCAATAGAAAAATGAATGCTAAATTTAATTTATGTTATGAACTCAAAATGCTTAAACTGAATGTGAAATAGCAAATAAAATTAATAATAGATCACGTAAATCGTATAAATAAATAAGAATTACAAAAATAAATTTTACTGATTAAAACAGTATAATTAATACAACATGGATATTTAAAATGAAAATATTTAAAGAAGAATTAAAAAGAAAGCATTAAGTTTGTTTATTCCTTTCCGCTCACTACTAAATTCTTTTTAGTGTATAAAAATTAAGTATTTTTATTATAATCTTTTTTATTATAATCACCTGAAAGAATTGTCCTGTAGCGGCTTGACAAACCAACGGTCCACCACCGTCACCACGGCACGTATCTTTATTTGCTTCGCCGCCAGCGCAAATAAACGATCCATGCAATTGAAAGTACTGACCCAATTTCGTGCTTCGTAAACGTGTCTGACAATCGTCTTGATTAATGATAGGAAGATTCACCTTTCGAAGCTCGGTCTGATATTGCCCTTCTGATCCTAAAACGAGATTGTGAATGAATGCCAAGTATAAATGCTGATAAGCAAAAGAAATAATAACTAAAAATCTGTAAACTCAATTCGAGCTCACCAAATGAATTGCTGCCCCATCCTAACCCGTAGCATCTGGTCCCAGCTAAGAAGACTTCACCTTGTTTGGGAAGACAAATTGGTAGGACGTTCGCGCTATAAGTGATTGATTTTTCCAAAACAAGGACAGCAATATCATGAAAAAGTCCATCGTTATAATAAGACGGATGTATAGCTATTGCGAAAATTTTTACTTCTTGAATAGGTAACGGTTGAATATTATTTCCTATGTTCCACTGTCCGAAGTGCGCAATCAAATTTTCAGGCTTTTGGCTGTCGGGTAATTAAGATGAAGAAAAAAATAAATCAATTAAAATCAATGACACTATGAGAGAAGTTTTAGAAAGTCATTTTTTTTCTTGTGTCATTTGTACACACGTACTTCGCAACGCAGTGAGCGGCAGTGAGGATGGCCCCATTACTGATTATCGAAGCACCGCAATGAAAAATATAAGGACCGCCAGTGGATTTTAGAAGTGCGACCATCCATGGAAATTCAGCGAAATAGGTTTTTCCGGAATCAGAAGAAAAAGGTTGCGCTGTAAACGATTACTATCATTATCACTCGAGTAATAGCTTTGAATCAAATATATCTACTATATTATTGAATTTATACTTCACTTAGGCGATTTTAATCAAACTTGATCAAATTCCGATTAACGAATAATTCGACCGGCAGAAACGCTTAAGACAAAAATCTACAATACACAATTCGTTATTCTCAATCTTTTTTCAATAAGCACATAATTCCATTAATTAAATTTTATTAATTAAATCTAATTATATTTATTTATATTACTTATAGTTGTTTTTACGAATGTAATTTAATTTTAATCTCTGTTCAACTCTTCTTCTTCTTCTGGTTATAAGAATTAGAAAAAGATGAAGAATTAAACCAAGAATTAAAGTTAATTTATAGTGATAGAAATGAGCATTAATAAAATAGTGTTGATTAAGTTAATCGGGGGGCTAAGTTCCTAGACATGACTTCACACTACATCGTTAATGCGTATCTATATATGAGGCTTATACTTACATGGTGCGTAATTATTGTTTTGTATACCACAAGTGATTTGTGAAACTGGGCGATTGGATGATCCGTTCACAACAACACTGGATGAAGAGGCGCTTTGAAGATCCTGATGATTGATCCCTGCTAATCGACAGCATACTTGGTCCGCTGAAGAGCACAAAGTAAATCTCGAATCAATTATACCAAGACCATCCGGATTGACCGCGTTTCCTTCAAAACATAGCCAGGTCTTCACACAGTAACATTCTTGCGATGTACCCGGATTTTTCAACTGGCCCAGATCCGTAATCGGCGCGGCTGATGAAGTGTTTAGACAAGACGGTATGTTTGACGACGTGCAGATATTTCCATCTGATAAGATCTGGGAAACTCTAGGATCTATCATGGCACCACCGCCGGACGTAATGACGATCATGCAGATGAAACATAGACTAACGTTGTCGCATATGAAACATAATTGCATCTGACTAGATGATACCATAGTGATTGTTGATGATATTCTGGTCATCGTAGCAGATGTGAGTGGTATTATAGTAATCGTGGTCGAAGAACTCATCATTGGCTGTGTCATATTCGCTAGTATCCTGCAGCAGACCAGGTTGTCGGGACATAATCCGTACCGCGGATTTATTACACCCTCTCCGGAGATGGAGACTATTCCATTAGGATCACATAAAGATATCATAACACAGATACAGTTTAGTACGGTTGTGGGAGAAGTCACCGAAGTAGGTACTGTTGGTGTTGTAGTTGGAATAGTTGGAGTAGGTGGCATTGATGGTGGCATAGTTGGAAATGTTATTGAAGGCATTGTTGATGGCGCAGTTGGAGATATAGCTGGCGGTATTATACGAGATACACTTGTCGGAGATGTAGTTGGAGGTGTCATACGAGATACATTTATTAAAGATGTAACAAAAGGTATCATGGCCATATTAGTTACATTTGGCAGATAGCAACAGATCTCTAAATCCCCACATATCCGATTAATGGCAAAACTGTACAAATTTAAATTTAAGCAATTATATACATTCTAGAGATTGATTTTACCAATATCAACCAACTTGAAACTTAATTTAGCCAGCAAATATAAAACTTAAAATTTAGAACTTGAAAGAAGAAATAAAAATTAATCAGGGCACTTAAAAATCGATATAATAAAATCGAATCAAGATTAGATAAAATTAAAATAACAAAACTGTAATATAAAATTATAATTTGATGTTCATACAAAGTAAAATATATAAAACAGATTAAAATTAATCTCAATGGAGTAACAACGTATATAATATTGATTATCAAACTTTGATAATTAACTCACCGCGGGTCAATTATTCCGGTCCCATCGGTGATGATAGTTCGATTCCTGTCGCATAGATAAAAAGGTACGCAGATACAATCTCTTACCGAAGCGGGGGAGGTGGGGAAAATCCTGTCTAACTTCTGATACCGCGGTTTGCACTTAAGCAGGTGTAAAAAGAATACAGACTCGGTAAATGGCACCACATTCTTTTGAGAAAAACCTATGTTTTTTCGAATCATTATCGGTTTTTCAATCTGATTGTGTCTATGCTTCACTCTTTCTGAAGTAATTGTAACATTGATCGTCATCGCGACGACAGTTATCAGCACGTAAAGCCGCATGACGACGTGTCGTTATTATCCGGTAGAACACTGTCTATTGAACGATTTTTTAATACGAGCATACATTTATGTATACAGGATGTACTAGTATTTCCCGGGTTTATGGGGAACAGATGCAGATATGACGCTAATAGCATATTATCTTTTGTCATAATGACCAATTTTCGAAGGTAAAATATAATAGCAACGCTTCATGCATCAGGATGCGTTTAAAAATACAAAGAGTGTAGGGATTTGTAAAAATAAAATATACAAATAAAATATTTAAATAATACAAAAAAATTACAAATTTTTATCCGTTATATGGAATAAAAACAAATTAAATCGATTTATTTATTAATAACTGTTTTATATAAAATTAAACAAAAATGCTTGTTTAAATAATATAATTATATCATTAGAAATAAAAAATAATCAACAATGTGAATACAAAAGAATTTATCCGATAGCAGACATTTTAAATAAATGTAATATTGATATAAATAATTTTTCATTTAAATAATCTAATTATAATTCTGCAATAATTCGGCAGTATACGCGTATATATGTGAAGGATAATCCGTTTAACTGATCAAATACAAAGGATGTGACTTACTTGATAAACAACATCAAAAGTAATGTATTAACATCTTTCCAAGTTAAAATAAAATAATTAAATAAATAAATAATAAAATTTTAAACTGCCGTTATATGTGTATGGTATGTTAATTCAAATTAAATTCATTTAAATAATACAATTATTAAATCATGTAATATGAGAACAATGAATATGATAAAAATCATATCATGTAATAATTATTAATTACTTATTACGATGTACAATAGTACTTATCTTTATATTAAATGCCAATTGATTCATACAGGAAGAGAGCGAATTTTTAGACTTCTTTGATTGAAAAATAAAGTAATATAAAAAAATTATGTATAAATTATCAAACTAATCTACGTGTACAATTATACAGATATCGCAAAGATGCAGTCACGCAATATTTAACGATTTATTTTGATCTATATGTAAGGGCAGAAAGTATTACATATAGATTTTTGATAAATTCTATTGTATTACAAATACATCATTATTACTGAATAAAACTTAATAAAGGACGACATAATATTATGAGAAAAATACATTTTTCATTCAAATGCATATATTCTATAAATCATTAATTAAACATAATACAATTTTGTATAAATACATTTAAATAATATATTAATATATTAATAGCGGAAGTAATAATATAATTATCCTTGGTACAAATATTTGGAATGGCGAGATGATTATTATGACGATATGCGTAAGAATATAATCTTAAAATACAAACGACTACAAAAAAGAAAAAGCATGTCCAGAATGCACAAGATTAATTCCGAATAGGCGGAAATTTATAGCGAATAGAGGAAATATAAAGAAAATAAAAATCCAAAAAGTTTGATCGCGCAAGCACACTCGCGTTTTGGATATACAATAAAGCTTTCTTGAGTTTTGCGTAAAATCTTAATCGATTAACGAATTCCAACATTCGCAGACGGGAACGCGTAAATTAGGTGAACCTCGATCGACATCGAAGACAGTAATTGCGACAAAATAAATATTTATACAATTCTGTAAAACGTGCAACTGGACATGCTACATTATTGTGGATTTGTGCGAATTGAAATTAGTTCATTTCTCTCTTTTCAAATTCCTGTCTATATTGACTGTGTCCCAAAATTTATTGCTTGTACTGAAAATTTATAATTTACGTATAGATTCTCTACTGGCAGTAAATTTTGAAACAGCTATTACAACATGAAATCTAGTTTTTACATGCTCTTAAATCGTTATCACCTGCTACTGCTCTTAATCGTTGCTGCACGATCGGATTATTGTAGTCATCTCGTGCCTCACTATGAATCAGTCCAGTAATATGACATCACCGTGTGTGAACGACGTAATTCTAAACTTTGGCCACGTATGCCATTAAGGAATGAAACGCGCATCTTACAGAAGCACTTATTCGCACTATTAAATAGTAGGTCTCATAATACAAATTACAAGAATATTACACTTCAATCTTAGAAACATAATATTTGGCACACTGTAAAGTCTTAATTTCTAGTAGGAACTAGTTTTTGTAATATTTTCATATACTATTTAATGGCGATACAAAACTGAGATATTCATCGCACCGTCATTTGCGATATTCGAATATATATATATATTTTTTTTTAATCTCTTTCGGCAGATATAAAATTTAAAACATTTCAATTCCTAAAAGAAGCTATATTATGAAGCCAGTTTCACAACAAGATTGAAGAACACTGAATAGATCTTTTTGTAGTGTTCCTAAATTCTCATGCATTAAATACACATCTTGAAATATATTTATCTCTGTGAAGATAAAACTATTATTACAATACAATGTTAGTTATAAGAGGCATTAGATGCCTTTTCCTATATTCGAGAAATCACATTTACGTATTCTTGAAAATCATACGGAGATTAAATTAACGCTTAGATTATTATTTAATTAAAATTTATGAACAGAAAATAAATTTTTAATTTCTTTGAAAAAGAATTGAAATGTTTTAAAGATCGTGCGATTTAATAATTATTCGATGTAATCTGTTAAATGTCGCAAACAAATTTGTAAAAGTTTTACTTAAATTAGCCATTTTAATCTGATTATTGAAATGGAATTGAATCAGAACAAAGGAGAAAAAAATTATACACTTATCTCATAAAATTGTCTCCTCGTAATTTGCATAATTTGATAAATTTTTCAAAATAATTTTTAAAAAATCATATTTTTGAGGAGCTCTTTGGTAAGTTTAATTCGCACATTCTCTTTCGAAAACAAAACTAGACTGAAAGAGATTTCTCACCTCTCTTCTATTATCTTCCGTCAACGAATATAATATAATCTTTATAATTTACACATTTACTTTTAATTTAATATATACGTATAATATATATATATATATACAATGTGTGATAACAATATGAAAATAAAACGTGTCCTTTAGTGAATCTTGAGGAACATCAGAAAAAAAGTATTGACTGGGATAAAATCATATGTTTTCCATGAACTGTCAAAAGCTAATTGTGTATATAAATATGAGAAAGCGTGATATTAGCAGTTTTTATTTCGATGGCCTTGATAATATCATGATGAAACTGACCGTGACAACACCTTGTATCTAATGTTCCGTCTGAATGTGATAATAGCGCATACAATATACAGAATTGAGAATAGGTCATTTTATATCCAATGGATGAGATAGTTAGATAAAGGAGTGGACGGATGAGAAAGAAAGAGGGGATGGAAAATAAATAAAACGTTCGTGGAAACGTATAAAAATTATAAGTACAATTATTATGGTCTAAGAACTTATAATGAAAAGAGTCTCACTTAAAGGACACGTTTCCACAAACAAAAAATTAATACAGATAACTCATGTGCACGTAACATTTTATACATCTTATATCTTATAAAAATAAGATGTTTAAATTAATATCACTGCTCAAATAAGAGCGAGATCAAATGGTCACTTTTATATTCTTCAGTCGAAAAGTTCAATCAGTAGATGGTCTCACGTTTCAACAATGCTGATTTCAAAACTTGCGTAAGTGCACGAATTTAAATGATATGCGCATAGAGTTATCTCTTGTACATTGGTATAACTCTCTTATATCTATATATACCATAACTATATCTTATCCTAGACTGTGTGCCTTCCAAGCGACACAGTGCGACACAGTGATCTTTGTCATGTCATCTTTGTTTAATATTGGCAAACAACAAGGATGTAATGATCTATTGTGTCACACTGTGTCATTTGTGTCGTTAGACACACTACATATATATATATATCATAAAATATAAAAACTGAACATTTCGAACACGTTAAGGCACATGTTTATCATCACAACTTTTATTTTCAAAATTAATAATATATGTATATATATTTATAGAGAGAAAATTAATAATTTTAATAACAGTTCGCGAAGATGCAATCATGACGTAAATAACATAATTGTCGAAACGTTTCGCTGAACGTTATTATGAAAAAATAAATAAAAATAAATTAAAATAAAAGATGTGCGTGTGTCCTGATTGCAAAAATTTGGTATTAACTTTATGCTACGAGGAAATAAATTTTCGAATAGAAAATAAGAGATTAATGCTGACAAATACATTACTAAAATGTGTAGGCTCTAAGATCTCTCCTTAAAAAAATCGTTGCCACTTTGAAGTCAAGGCGAATTAAGAAACGTGATTGTTTTTCTTATCTATATGCGTACAATGAATAAATTTTGAACACGATTTTCGAAAACGCGTTGATTTAAAACAAAATCTGGTTTATACGTATTTCGAGAGTCGAATGATTAAGTCGATTCAGCAACATGTACAGACTTATTATCACACATCTGTAGAGCTAATCGTAATTTTTGTTTACGAACATGAAAGAATGTAAACTGTTAGATTTTAATTGTTGAGAGTGATGATGTGAACCAGCATAAAAAAAATTTGTTAGAATTCATATTTTGGACGTATATGAAAATATATCGAGGTTTGGCGCTTTCTTTAAATTTTGAAGAACTTGATTTTTTGATCGTGTATTTTACCGGATATGTGAATTATCTTCATTACATTAAAATAAATTTCCATAAAATAGATTTTATTTAAATTTAAAATAGATTTTAGAACAATCACATTTCTTAATTCGCCTTGACTTCGAAATGACGACTTTTTAAGGAGAGATTTTAGAGGCTTGCCTACACATTTTAGTAATGTATTTGTCAGCATTAGTCTCTTATTTTCTATTCGAAAATTTATTTCCTCGTAGCATAAAGTTAACACCTAATTTTCATATACGTCCAAAAATGAATTCTAACAAGTTTTTTTTATGCTGGTTCACATCAATCATCATACTCAACAATTAAAATCCAATAGTTTACGTAATTGTTTACGTTCTTTCATGTTCGTAAACAAAAATTACGATTAGCTCTACAGATGTGTGATAATAAGTATATCTGTACATATTACTAAATCGACTTAATCGTCCGATTCTCGAAATACGTATAAACCAGATCTTGTTTTAAATCAACGCGTTTTCAATTTATCAGTATAATTTCGCATTATGAATTTGATTACAAATAGAATGAATGCGAGAGGTAGTACTTTAATAGTTTACATCGTAAGTACAGCTATAAAAATATAAAGATATAAAGGTAAAAAAATGCGAGAAGTCAAAACTGATAAGTCAAATTTCGATCTTGATCTGATATTACGGCGTATTCGTGAGGGTGTCAAATTATGTCGGTTGTCAGTATTCACATTTACAAACTAATGTAAATGTACGGAAAAAAAAAAAAAACAATGTACACAATAGTCTAGGAAACTAAATTGTCTAATTCGGTACTTGGATGGGGACGTGTCAGCAGTTGATGTTGATATGCTCAAAACGTTGCTTGCTTCTTACTTCTCCCTGTTAAAAATCTCACTTAGAAGATATTGTTATTGTTCGAAGATTTATTTATTCTTATTAAATAAGATAGAAAACAATAGAAACATTAGGTGTGGGAAAAAGTTCGTGGCGTTTTTCCCATTAGATGATATTAAAAAAACGCCACGAACTTTTTCTCATACTTAATATATTAAAAGAGGAAAGAAATGTATCTCACGTAGGATAATATTCACTAATTAATCTTAAAATAACTTTTAACATATACGACTTAATAAATTTATTAAAATGGGTTATTTATTCTTCTCCTTTTATTATATTATCCATTCATTCACAAAATCATTTTGCCCGGATAGTGTTCCATTACATTGATTTTGTTGATTCACTTCTTCAAACTGACGGAACAACACTAATTTCTTTCATAAATTCTTTTTACGTCGTGTTTTACGAAGAGAACGATATAAGCATAAAATAATTTCTTAAAATTAATTGCACAGTTTATCTAAATGTATTTATTTTAGATTAGTAATTATTCTGATTATTTCTTTTGTACTTTTACTTTTTACTTACTTTTTAGTCATTTCATGTATTAGCAAAGAAATCATATAATTAAAACAAACAAGTGCGATAATATTATTTAATAAATATTAATATGCTTAAAGAATATGAAAATATAAAAATCTTAATGACAAAAAGAGAATTTTAATTTAATTGGAGGCTGTTTTATTTATTTAATCTACGAGACTTACTTTAATGTTTAATTTATTGGAACATTTTCTATTCATTTACAATTCGTTATTTATGTTCATTCTAGTCATTTACAATTTTTTCAATAGTAATTTTTTACTATTTTCATTTATAATTTGTACATATTTATTTACATTTATACACTGAGAAAACAATATACAATATTAAAATTAAAATAGTATACAATATACAATATTTTAATAAATATTTGTTTAAATAATATTAGCTGAATATTTATAAATATAATTAAATGTCAAAAATTAATGATTTTATATGTAACT